AAGGGCGGAGCAAAGAGGCCAAGGGCGGAGCATGGAGGTCAAGGGCAGAGCAAGGAGGCCAAGGGCGGAGCATGGAGGTCAAGGGCGGAGCAAAGAGGTCAGGGGCGGAGCATGGAGGTCAAGGGCAGACCAAGGAGGTCAAGGGTGGGGCATGGAGGTCAAGGGTGAGCAAGGAGGCCAAGAATGGAGCATGGAGGTCAAGGGCAGAGCATGGAGGTCAAGGGTGGAGCAAGGAGGCTAAGGGTGGGGCATTGAGGTCAAGGGCAGAGCACGGAGGTCAAGGGCAGAGCAAGGAGGCCAAGGGTGGAACGTGGAGGTCTGGGGCGGAGAACGGAGGCCAAGAGCAGAGCATGGAGGTCAAGGGCGGAGCAGGGAGGCTGAGGGCAGAACAAGGAGGTCAAGGGCAGAGCATGGAGGCCAAGGGCCAAGGATGGAGGCTGAGGGCGGAGCAAGGAGGCCGAGGGCGGAGCATGGAGGCCAAGGACTCGTTCATTCACCCATTCAGCCAGCACTTACTGCACACCACATATCACAGAGCTGGACGACCTGAGTTTATGTCCCACGTCTTCCACTCCAGATATAATCTCTCTGTGCCTCAGTTTCTTTGGACTGTAAAATGAAAAAGTAGTGCCCACATCCCTAGGTTGAAAGAATCAAACAAGTGAATATATGGAAAGCACATAGCATACACCTCATACGTAGTCAGCACCGAGAAGTACCAGCTGGAAGCCATGCGAGCCCAGGCAAGGCAGCGCCTCGCTCGGGTCTCAGTTTTCCTCCTCCATGCGCGGAGATGGCGACACCCCTGCCCCCGCCAGGCTCACGGTGAGACTGCGAGATGATCCCCTGGGCCCTGCACAGAGGAGGTGCCAGGAACACAGAGCAGACTGGGCCCATGGTTGGGCTCTGACGATTCCCAGCTAAGGGCCCTCAGGCCTGTCTCCTGGTCTCTCTGTACCTGCCTATCCTCCTCTGTCCTTGTCCCTTAGGGGCTTCAGGGAGTCACGGAGCCCCAGGCCAGAGCTTGAGCCTGGTGCCGGGGACTCTGGATAGCCGTAGCAGGTGCGAGAGCAGTGCTGGCACCGTTGCTTCTCACCTCCAACCCCTGAGATGTCACAGGCCTCTCCTCTGCTCAGCGTATCATACCTGAACACCCCCCCACGGCAACCCCACTGCGTGTAAACACTGTCCATACACTGGCGATTCTAATTACAGGTGCAGCTGGGACTCTTATTTGTTGCCAGCTCCTGTGGCCAGCCCCCCTCCCACCGTCTCCTTGGGGTGTCCAGGGCCAACTCCACTAAGCACCTCCAGAAACAGATTTCTGATCCCCCGAGCCTTCCTGATCAGAGCTGCAATCCTGGCCCTTCTCTTTGTTTCACAGCCATATCCATCCCTCAGGAAATCCTATTGGCTGCCCCTGAAAAGTAGGCCCAGAATCTGCCCCTGGGTCCTACCATGGCCCCACCCTGGTCCTGCGCAGTGTCACTGTCTCTCTTGTGGGTCATGGTTACAGCTCCTACCTGCTCCCTGCCTCCCCCCAAATGCCCCCACATGCACACAGTCCATCCCCCACATGCACCCAGAGGGAGCCTTCCAGGGCTGCATTGCACTCAGGGTGAGAACACAGTTGCCATTGGGGCCCACAGGACCCGCATGGTGCGGCCATGTTGCCTCTGTCCTCGCTCCTGCTGCTTCCTCCCTTGCTCACCCTCACCCAGCCATAGGGGCCACCTCCGTATTCCTTAAACCTTCCAGGCGCACTCCTGCCTCAGGGATTTAGCACTGGCTGTTCCGTCTGCCTGGAATGTTCCTCCCCCAGGTGTCCCCCTGGCGCACTCCCTCCTCCCCGTCAGAGTTTTGTTCAGATGACGTCTCTGCCAGGCCTGGCCCAGCACCTTGTTTAAAGTCAGGCCTCCGTAGACTCCAGCGCTCCCAGACCCCTTACCCTGCTGGAGGTTGTCCCGGACATGTAGCGTCTCTGCATAAGCAATGGAATGTCTTCATGTGTATGTGTCCCCCACGTTGTCATGCTCAACCACTGCCATCTCCACCCTCCCCATCCAGCCACCATCTCAGCCTCGGAGCTCTCGCTGGCTGATGGGCGGGACCGCCCCCTGCGGCGCCTGGACCCTGGGATGATGCCCCTGCCTGACACGGCTGCTGGCCTCGAGTGGTCCAGCCTGGTGAACGCAGCCAAGGCATACGAAGGTAGGCGCCTTCCACCCAGTCCCGCCGGGCCCCCACGCCCTCCTCTGTTCTAGAGGGAGTTATGGAGGGCCTCGTGGCTTTGCAGGGATACCCACTCAGGTTCCAGAATCAGGGAGCGGGGTTCGAGTCCTGCCCCATCACTTGCTTACCATGCAGCCCTGGGCAAGTGTCTTCATCTCTTTGATGCGAGTTACCGTGTTGACCGACAAGTAAAAGTCACCATGCTTGAGGCTGCCATGACAATTACACAAAACACCGCATGGAAGATATGTGAGGCCAAGCATAGTGGTTCACACCTGTAATCCCAGCACTCTGAGAGTCCGAGGCAAGAGGATCACTTGAGGCCAGGAGTTTGAGACCAGCCTGGGCCACATAGTAAGACCCAGTCTCTACAAAAGAGAAAAACATAAGTGACACATGGCGGTGCACACCTGTAGTCCCAGCCACTCTGGAGGCTGAGGCAGGAGGATCGCTTGAGCCCAGGAGAGGGAGGCTGTGTGGTGAGCTGTGATCACACCAATGCACTCCAGCCTGGGCGACAGTGCAAGACCCCGTGTCTGGGGGGGTGGAAAAAAAAGTCTGTGTCCCTGAGGACATTTGGGTTTTCAGCCCCAGATTTGGGAGCCCGAAGAGGGAATAAAGACTTTCAGTGCCCTGAGGGTCCTGCCAAGACCTTGATTCTGGGTCGGGGGTTCCCCATACCAGGCCTGCAGAGATCCTCACTCCCTGGGTTCCCTGGAGCAGTGGACAGGGTTTGTTCTGCCACCCAGGGCCCTTTATGTTCTGGGAGTCCATGGGGACAGGGGGCCGGGCAGCTGGAGGCATCTCCTCTCTCATGTGGGTCTCCAGGCATCCTGGGGCCAGGACGGCCGGTTCCGGGATAGTGGGAAGTGACGAAGGCCTCAGGTCTCTCCCTGGAGACCCAGGTGCCATCAGCGGTTGTAGTGTTGTCTGCAGAAGGCAGAGCTGCCCAGACGCCGACCCTACCAACCATAGGCCACAGGAAAGGGCTTGGGCAGCCAAAGCCCCTACCCACTCCCAGCTGCTCCATGCACCTGGCATGCCTGGGGGCTGTGCAGCCCATGTGAGAAAGCGGAAGGAGCCTGGCTGGTGGCACTGATTTCTCTCCCAGGCTGTGCGTCACAGTCGCCTAGGGAGCTTTTTCCTTCCTTATAAAATTAATAGATGAACCACAGAAGGTTATGGGGGAGGGGTGGCAGTAGCAGAAAGACCCGGGAGGAAGCGGTGCCTCCCCGGGAGCCGGAAAGGGGCTGGCAGGGAGTGCAGGTCAGAGTGGTTTCAGCCTGCCGGGAGGTGCGGGGTTTTCAATGAAGATATATATGTTTTCCCATGCAATTCACATGAGTGGAAAAGGCTAAAGGAATTCTCGTTAACTTTGGTAGGTGTGTTCATAGCATAGTAGTTTTCTTCCCCCCCCAAAAAAATATATATATATATGTTTTATCCACTAGAGCTACTTAGTAAAGTTTCTACAGATGAAATACAAAGATGTCTGGAATTTGATTTAAAATATTCCAGGTTGGGTGCAGTGGTTCACACCTGTAACCCCAACACTTTGGGAGGTCAAGGTGGGAGGATGGCTTAAGGCCGGGAATTCAACCAGCCTGGGCAACATAGCGAGACCCCGTCACTACAAAAAATTTTATTTTACTTATTTATTTTTTAGAGTCTCACTCGGTCACCCAGGCTGGAGTTCAGTGGCATGATCTTGGCTCACTGCAGCCTCCACCTCTCAGGTTCAAGCGATTCCCCTGCCTCAGCCTCCTGAGTAGCTGGGATTATAGGTGCTAATTTCAAAATTCTCCAGGTGTGGTATTACACACCTGTAGTCCAAGCTCCTTGGGAGGTTGAAGCAGGAGGATTGCTGGAGCCCAGGAGTTCTAGACTGGAGTGTGCTGTTCCGATCCGGTGTCTTGACTAAACTCAGTATCAATATGGTGACCTCCAGGGAGCCAGGGACCACCAGGTTTCCTAAGGACAGGTGTACTGGCCCAGGTCAGAAATGGAGCAGGTCAGAGCTCCCGTGCTGATCAGTAATGGACTCGGGCCTGTGAAGAGCCACTGCACTCCAGCACGGGCAACATCACAAGACCCAGTCTCTTAAAACACAGATGTCAAAGTGAATATACATTAAATCCAAGATAGAAAAATATAACTATAAAGGGTATTATTCAGAGAATCGGAGAACATTTGCAGATGACTGTATATTAGAGAATATCGTGGCCAGGCGTGGTGGCTCATGCCTGTAATCCAGCACTTTGGGAGGCCGAGGCGGGCAGATCACCTGAGGTCAGGAGTTCGAGACCAACCTGACCAACATGGAGAAACCCCATCTCTACTAAAAATATAAAATAGCTGGGTGTGGTGGCGCAGGCCTGTAATCCCAGCTACTTGGGAGACTGAAACAGGAGAATCGCTTGAACCCAGGAGGCGGAGGTTGCAGTGAGCCAAGATCGCGCCATTGCACTCCAGCCTGGGCAACAAGAGTGAAGCTCTGTCTCAAAAAAAAAAAAAAAAAAAGTAAATGGGCAAAATGTTACCAATGGGTGGTGCCAGGGAAGGAGTGTTGGGGTTTTTACTGTGCTATTCTTGCGGCACAGAAATGGAAGTTGGGGAGCTGCTTGCCTCTGGGGTTCGCCCTCTGCCCTGCCCCTGGCGGTGCCACCCTCGACACACGGCACACTGGGATGCCTTCGTGTTTTTAACACCCCCGAGGAGTCCATTGTCTGGCTGTTCGTAGCTCACTAAACCAGCCACTATTGGAGGACACTGGGGCGGTGGCCAGCTGTTGCCATTACAGGAAGAAAATCCAACAGTCACATTTGAAAACGCAGACGGCTCAGGTACCCCCAGTGCCAGTCACATGTCCAAGGCGGAACCCGGGAATCTTCACTTTCACTGGCAACCCCATGCGATTTCTTTTCTCTCTTCAATATGCATGATGTGATCTGTCTCACTTCTCTTTTTGCTTTTGAAATCTTCCCGGCTTCCTCCGAAGGAAAGCGAATCGTATAACGAATCCCCGTGGACCTGGCGCCAGCCTGTCCACTTTGGACCCCTTTTTCCTACCTTGTACTTGTGGACCAAAGCCAGTCATTTATGTTGAGAGCATGCCAGGTTCAGAATCCAGTCGGATGCTGCCTCGCACTGTCATCTAACTGCCTTCTCCAGCTCTTGTATTTTGTATGAACTAGTCATTGGATCAAAAGCCTCGATCGGAATCAGGATGGGATTTTGTGTTCTTGTTTTGTGTGTTCATTTGCTCGGTGTTTTGGCGAGAATCTATCCAAGTGCCGATGCAGTCTTTCCCAAGAGTGTTGGGAAGTGTCGTGCAGGTTTGCAGGAAGAGGCATCGTCCAGCAATTGAGGGAGAAGCTGGGAGCCTTACTGACCCTCTCCTCCTCCTCCCTCCCTGGCAGTGCAAAGAGCCGTCTCACTCTTCTCTCTGAACGATCCGGCCCTGAGCCCGGACATCCCGCCTGCACACAGTCCTGTCCACAGCCACCTGAGCCTGGAGAGGGGACCCCCGACCCCCAGGACCACCCCTACCATGAGGTGAGCTTTCCCTGGGAACACGCGGGTTCATACCAGCGGCAGGTCTGTGCAGTGGAAGAGGCTTCTCCAGAGAGAGGCAGCCACTGCGGGTCACCCCCACCACTCTTCGGGCAGAAGCTGATACAGCAGCTGCTCCCCTCTCCTAACAGAGTTGGAAGTCGTTACACTGCACCTGTCTATGCACTGGGGATCCACAGTGACTAAGGCAGACTCTGCCCAGTCCCAACAGATCTCCCGGTCCGGCGGAGACGACACTGAAATCAATACACACACAGTTGTTTCGCTTCCAACTTGGAAAACTGCTAAGCAGGCCGGGCACGGTGGCTCACACCTGTAATCCCAGCACTTTGGGAGGCCGAGGTGGGTGGGTCACTTGAGGTCAGGAATTCAAGACTAACCTGGCCAACGTGGTGAAACCCCATCTCTACTAAAAATACAAAAATTAGCCGGGTGTGGTGGCGGGCGCCTGTAATCCCAGCTACTCGAGAGGCTGAGGCAGGAGAATCACTTGAATCCAGGAGGCGGACGTTGCAGTGAGCCGAGATCACGCCACTGCACTCCAGCCTGGGCCTCAGAGCAAGACTCCATCTCAAAAAAAGAAAAAAAAAGAAAGGAAAGCTGCTCAGCAGTGTCTCCCAATCCCCCAGCCCTGTGCCTCTCGCCAGCCCCGTTGCTGCCAGTCTCCCGCCTATCTGCTCCTTCGTCTCCTCCTCTGCAGGTTCCTAAACCTCACAGACTTCTGCCTCATGCTCAGCCTTCCCAGCCTCCCTGCCAGGTGCCGTGCTGGGCTATCTGAGGACCCAGTGGCAATTGAGGCCAGGCCTGGCCCTCAGGAGGCTTCACGGGGGAAGGAAGAGGACGGGGACAGATCTCTCACATTTGTCATCTCACGCGTGGCTTCTCACATTCAGCACAGCATATTTGACTGCACTCACTTGGCAGAAAACAAAATTAAAAAGAGGCAGAGAGAATGTAAATGGCACATTCTGCCTGTACATGGATTTAAATAGTGCATTTCACACTCGTCTGCACACCTCACGGTGCAGGGTTCTATATACAACCATCCGTGCACTGTACTTCATGGGCAGTGGGAGCAATTTTTGAGGGTAATTTTGACTTCTTGCTTTTCACACTCTGGCTTCAGAACTCAACCTCCACCACGAACGTAGGCCCCGCTGTAATTACAAGAAATCGGCAGTTCCAGATGGTGCTGCCAGGCTCAGGGGCAGGAGCAGCCTGGGCTGTGGGAAGCAGTGGGACCTGTGGCCCCTGGGCGGCACTCCTGGAGTCCATTTGCCCCCATCTCCCTCTGCAGCTGCCGATTCCCAGGACTCAGCAGCAAGGTTGTAGGAAAGGGTGGGCGAGGCAGGAGGGCCAGCCCCCGACCGCCACCACCTGTGCACCCGCAGCGTCCAACAGAGCCTCCTTCAGCCCCAACTCCAAGCGGGAAGGGGCTGTGCGTTCTCTGCAGCGGCCAGGCAGGCCCAGGGCTGGGAGGATCTGCAGAGGGGCAGCTACTGGCCGTGGGTCCGACTCAAATCCTAGCAGCAGCACGTGGGTGGGCGATACTGCCTGCATATCCTCCGCTGGCCAGCGGGTAACTGTGCAGCACATCCGAAGGCCACAGTGGGCAGAGGAGCTCTGTGAGATGAGCCGGGCAGCCTGGGGCTTGGTGCGGGTTGGCTGTCAGTGATGGGCACATGGTCAGCATCACTGACAGGACCGTTGTTGGTCCTGCCCACGAGGGTGGGCCCTTTTGACCATCTGTCCATTCTCGTGCTTCCTGTGCCTGGAGTGGTGCCTGGACCCGCCAGGTGCTCAGCAGGCATCTGTGGAGCAGGCTCTTTGTGTCCTGGAGGTACGAAGAAGGGGTGCTCCCTGAAGTCACATGCACGGCCCAGCCTCAGGGAAAACACACACTTCAGGGCGGGCGCCCCCCCCTTCCCCTGGCCTGGTGCTCCCAACACCCCATCCACATCCACCGAGGTGCCCCTGCTGGGTGGAGTATGCCGGTGGAGGGCTGGCTTCCTGCTTCCCCTGGGAGCTTCTCCTCGGGCTTCGCCAGAATGTCAGGGTTAAGGGGGCCCGTACCCCCAGGCTCCTCAGCTGTGGGCCAGAAGCCCTCCTCAGGGGCTGTGGGGCCTCAGGCTGACCTGGTCCCTGTCTTTCCAGTGAGGAGCCGCCCCTGGATCTGACAGGCAAGGTGTACCAGCTGGAGGTGATGCTGAAACAGCTGCACACTGACCTGCAGAAGGTAACGCTGGGGGCCACGCCCTCTCCATCCCACTTCCCAGACACTGGGCAGGGTGGTCAGCAGGGATCAGGCACCTGCCTCGGCCATGCAGCACCCACCCCACCCCCACACCTCCTGTGCTTGAGTGCAGTCATGGGTGAAGAGTAAACAGTGATAACACCCAAGGCTAGCAAGCACTCAGAGAAACTCATCCATTCTTCGGGGGAGAATAATCAGCCCAGGCTTTTCGGGGGGCAGTTGGACAACATTTATCAAAAATGTAATTGTGGCCAGGCGCGGTGGCTCATGCCTGTAATCCCAGCACTTTGGGAGGCCAAGGGGGGTGGGTTGCCTGAGATCAGGAGTTCGAGACCAGCCTCGCCAACATGGTGAAACCCCATCTCTATTAAAAAGTATAATAATTAGCCAGGTGTGGTGGCGGGCGCCTGTAATCCTAGCTACTTAGGAGGCTGAGGCAGGAGAATCACTTGAACCCGGGAAGGCAGAGATTGCAGTGAGCTGAGATCACGCCACTGGACTCCAGCCTGGGCAACAGAGCGAGACTCCGTCTCACAAAAAAGAAAAAAAAAAAAATGTTGACCCAGTAATTCCACTTGTGGGAATTTATCCATGACAGCGTGAGTACAGAGATTGTAAACAAGGACGTTCATTGCCACACTATTGGCAATAAAAAATTGGAGCCAGCGTGGCTGTCCCTCAGCAGGAGAGCGGCGGTGTAAATTACAGGCGCCCATGCAGCGGGACAGCGTGCAGCCAATTAAAGTAATCACAAATCTATATATTTACTAACACGCAAAAGAAATCCAGTAACTTACGTAAAAACCAAAGCGAGCTGCAGCACTGTTGCCTAGAACATCATCATACTTACTTATTTATTGTTTAACCACCACGGTTGAGAGGGCCATCTAGAAGGTGACAGTCAATTTGTTCTTTGGACTTGTCTCCATGGGGCGGGAGGATGAGGAGGAGACTGGCCAGGTGTGGTGGCTCACACCTCTAATCCCAGCACTTTGGGAGGCCGAGGCGGGTAGATCACCTGAGGTCAGGAGTTTGAGACCAGCCTGACCAACATGGTGAAACCCTGTCTCTACTAAAAATACAAAATTAACCGGGCTTAATGGCGCACTCCTGTAATCCCAGCTACTTGGGAGGCTGAGGCAGGAGAATTGCTAGAACCTGGGAGGCAGAGGTTGCAGTGAGCCGAGGGCGACAAGAGCGAAACCCAGTCTCAAAAAAAAAAAAAAGAAAAATGAGGAGGAGACTTTTATCTATTGTTTCTACACTTCTGAGTAAAAGTGAGAAAAGTGGCAGAGCATGTAACGCGTTAAGTCCTCGAGCTGTGGAATCAAAGGGGCCCAGGTTCTGACCTCCGCCCCACCACATAATGCCGTGCGACCTAAGACAAGTCCCTGCCTCCGGGGCTACGTCCTCCTGGAAGAATGGGGTCTGCTCAGGCCACTCTGCCTCCATGTCTCAGCTCCCCACTTGCTGTGTGAGGCTGGGGTCGTCTTCCAGGAAACTGGGGATAGCGACAGTCCCCAAGTCCTCAGGTAGTGTGATGGTGGGATGCGGTGGCCACAACAGTGCTGTGTGTCAGGCGGTGACTCCACCTCGGGCTGCATTCCAGGAGCTGTACATAGATGAGCTCCAGGCAACCCTCAGCCCCCTGGTAGGGTTGTGGGAACCGAGTGACTTGCCCAGGGTCCCTCGGTTGTGGAGAGGCAGAGTGGGATGTACACCCCGGCCTGACCCGGCTCTAGTGGTCGGCTCCAAAGCACAGCCAGGCCAGGGTTCGCAGGCCCCAGGGAGCCATCGGCTGTTCCAGGAGCAGCCAAGCCCACTCGCCTGACGCCAGCTTCCCGCCCCACACAGGAGAAGCAGGACAAGGTGGTGCTCCAGTCAGAGGTGGCCAGCCTGCGGCAGAACAACCAGCGGCTGCAGGAGGAGTCGCAGGCCGCCAGCGAGCAGCTGCGCAAGTTTGCAGAGATCTTCTGCAGGGAGAAGAAGGAGCTCTGAGGCGGGAGGGCCACCACCCGGCCTTTGCTCCTTCCCTGCAGGCCATGGCGCTGCTCGCCTCTCTCCCTCCACTCGGCTCCCAGCTGCCCGTGTGACCAAGATGACTCAGCCAGGGTCCTCCCCGTGGACACAGAAACCCCGATGGCCTCACTAGGGCTGTGAGTCTGGGTCAGCGCACGGCCCTCATGCCCGAGGGTAACGTGGTCTCAGGCCTCCCTCCGAGCTGCCCAGCTGTGGTCCCGGTGAGCTGGGCCGTGCTTACACCGCTTCCGGGCCTGTCCTGCTGTCCCCATCTAGCCTCTTCCTGGGACCAGCCCTCTGAAGCTGATGGGGACACAGAGAGGACCCAGTCCCCAGACCCCGCGGCTCCAGGAGGTCACAGAGCAGGTTTCTGCGCCATGCACAACGACGTTGCGGCTTGTGGGGCCGAGGCCCCTGCATGAAAAGTACAGCGTGAAAGCAACCCTTTCTTCCCCACATCCGGAGAGGTGAGGCCCGCGTGGACACAGACCGGGGCGCCTCGGTCCCTGGCGCGTGAGCTCCAAAAAGCACGAACATGATCCCCCCCAACCCCCTCCTCCCAAACAGCTGCCAGGAGCACTTTCTTAGAGTTTAAATTATTTTCTTGGGGGCCTGAGGATAGAGAGAGGCAAGGCCAGCCTCCAGAGCCGATTTATTTGAGAGAGAAACTCTATTTGTACCTCCGGGACGGTTTATATGATCTTTTTCTATCAGCTCCTCTTCCACCAGAGGCCACTGCACCTGGGCTGGGGGTCCACAGGCCCCTCCACCTTCCAGCTAACCAGGTCAGGCCGGGGTGGTGGAGCCACCACACAGCCGACTCTCTCCTCCTCCCGGCACGACCTGGCCCTGACCAGCAGCCTCGGCTTCTTCTGGGCTCCAGGAGGGGCTCCCGAAGCCCTCAGTACAGGGCTGGAGGAGAACAGCCTTCACCTCCTCTGGTTTTTTTTTCCTTTGCAAGTCTCCCAGCCCATCTCTCCGAGCAGCGACCACCAGACCCCCTCACCGTGCTCCCTGGGGAACACTGCCCCGCGAACCCCACTGGACGCTGGTTCTCTAAAGGCAATAAGGGGCGGCCACGCCGGTGTGGTACCATGCTGTTCACCCAGGAAACCGTTTCTTTTTTTCCTTCTTTAAAAACAAACAGAAAAAGATATATATATATATATATTTATTTTTTCATGTAGAGTTGGCGCCAGAACAAGCCTATATGGCCACAGTCTGTGGATTCACCCCCCAACCTCAAGCTGAGGACCAAGGCGTGTCCCCCGTGGGCTGGGGGTCAGTGGGAGGACCAGAGGGAGGAAGTCAGGGCAGGCAGGCAGGCCGGTGCCCTTTTTGGGAGGCACCAGGCGGGGAGGAGTTGGCAGAGCAGGTCTGGCCATGAGCCAGCACCAGGCAACCCGGCCCTTGTCCAGGGACCCCTGCCACCTTCTGTCTGGGGTCAGGAACTTCAGGGAAGGGGGCTCCGGGGACTGCATAGGACGCAGGCACTCAGGGAGGTGCCGGTGTGGATGGGTGGGGGTGAGAGAAGAGGGTTCTCATCGCGTCTCCTGTGATCAGCCTCTGGCCCCCTGGAGGAGGAACCCTCAGCGCTGCCCCTGCCCCCACCCTCACCCCCCACACCGAGAGTGAGGTGGGCGTGCCCCAGGCAGCGTCCTCAGCCCTGGCCAGCTACTGTGATGCCATCTTCTCCCCCATCCCCTTCTCTGGGGGGCCCTCCCATCCCCCATCCCCACCCCTTAGACCCTAATCGGGCCCCTTTTGTTTTCTTCAGTTGTCTCCTCCCATCTTCAGATCATTCGAATCATTTTGGGGACTTAATCATGTACATGGACAAGTGTAAATTATGATTTTTGGTTTTGTTTTGTGTTATTTTTTAAGGATTTCTGCAAAAACAGATCTATTTAATTTGAGGTTGGTGTTCTATCCGATGGCTGAAGATAGCAGCAGGTTTTGTTTTTTTTTTTCATATGTTGATTTTTTCATTTGGATTTTTTATTGTTATTCTTTATTGTCTTTTCTTTTCCCCCCATCCCTGTCTTGAGATTTTCTGGCATGTTTCTGGAGGTTTCAAAGGAAATAAACGTTTCATAGAAATAGCTTGTGTGTTCACTTCTGGAGCAGCTGCCTGGAGTTGCTGACGGGAGGGTGTGGTCCCGCATCGGCCCCTCCTCCTGCTCCCGTCCCCAAGTCCCCCACACCATGACCACCACACATGCGTCCTAAGAACCAGGGGCACCTGCCTCGCTAACTTCTTTTCCTGGGAATCCAAAGGACAGAAATCCAACACTCAGAATGTGAAATGTCCTTAAGTTCAAAAGAGTGAAATTCTGCCTCAGAGGTACTGGAGGCCTGAAGGCCAGACCTGGCTCAGCTGGTTGTGTTGGGTCTTAGAAATATTGGCCAACTTTTAATCTGGACATTCAGCCAGGCGCTGTGGCTCATGCCTGTAATCCCCGCACTTTTTGAGAGGCTGAAGCAGGAGGATTGCTTGAGCCCAGGAATTCAAAACCAGCCTGGACAACATAGCAAGATCCTGCCTCCAAAAAAAAATTTTTTTTTTTAATTTTTTGAGACAGAGACTCTTTCTGTCACCCATGCTGGAGTGCAGTGGTGCAATCTCAGTTCACTGCAACCTCCGCATCCTAGGTTCAAGCGATTCTCTTGCCTTAGCCTCCCGAGTAGCCGGGATCACAGGCACCCGGCTAATTTTTGTATGTTTGTAGAGACGAGATCTCACCATGTTGGCCAGGCTGGTCTCGAACTCCTGACCTCAAGTGATCTGCCCACCTCACCCTCCCAAAGTGCTGGATTACAGGTGTGAGCTGCTGTGCCCGTGCCTGGCTTAACTTTTTTTTTTTTTTTTTAGTGGAGATTGCACATGAAGAAGGCCAGGTTTCCAGCTTGGTTGATCTTTCCTTTGCTGCAAGACTCACAAGGGGCCCCTGCCTCCTTTGGTCCCCGCCACATGGCTGCATTTGGGACACTGTCCCTCTTCGGTCTGTAGAGGTGGGAGGAGACCCCCACTGCCAGTTGCCAAGTGAATGCTTTGGGGGTAGGAAGCAGCCCCTCATCGCCGCAGATCTGCATCTGGCCTGATGAACATTTGCATTTTGGGAGTCCGGATCAAACTGATTTCGGAATCAGGAAATTCCTCCTGAAAATCCGGAAGTGCAGCGCCTTGAGGGAAGCCTAGACTCCTGATGGGGCTGGCCAGGTGGGGTCTCTCTGCCCCCCTTACCCATGTACCTGTCATGGAGTTTCACATCCCTGAGCTAAAACCCAGTGCTTCTCTGACTCAGACCCTGCCCCCTCCAAAAAATGTCTTTTTCCAAAAGGCGTGGGGCTGGCATCCGGAGGAGCAGGACCAGCCATTCCCACGTCTCCTAAAAATTCTGGAGTTCTCCAGACACTCTCCCAGTCTCCGCCCTCCTCCTCGACGCCCCGTCCTCAACCCGCACTGCCCTCCCCCCGCCACCAGGCGAAGGGGGCGGGAAGCCTGGGAACAGGCTGTTCTCACATCCTCTCCTGGCGCCGAAGCCACGCCAGCTGCTTCCAGCACCCCACAACTCGCACGCACGCCAGCCCCTGGTCGCGCCCGAACTGTGCTTTGAGGCCTGGCCCTTCCCTTCGTGTCCCAGTTTCTAGCTTCCTCTGCCCGTCTCGGATCTCCCTGTCTCTCCTCCCCAATCTTTCTGGGTCCCTCATACCTCTGGCTCTCTCTGCAGATTGTTCTGCTGTTCCCCTAAATTCTGTCTTCTCCTCCTCTCCCCTGCTACCTGCGTCTCTCCCCCTCTCTGCCTGTTGTCCTGGGACTTTGCCTGTCCCTGATCCCAAGTCTCTCTCTCCACCCGCAATGTGGCACCTCTGTCTCCCCTCCTGGAGGACCTTTCCCTAAATCTGCTGCTGCTCTTCCCCAATCACCATCCTCCTCCTCCTCCCGCCTCTCCCAGCATGTCAGCCATTCTTTATTACTGTTATTCCCTCTCCCACTAAACCTCCTTCTCACCCCTGCTCCCTTCCTCTCTCCCAGTCCTTCCTCCTGTCTCTCCCTTCTGCACCCTCCTGCTCTTTTTTCTGATTCTCTCAATAACTGTGTGACTGTCCTCATCTCTTTCTCTCTCCTGATCTGTGTCCTAGTTCCCTCACTCCTCACTCCCGCCCCCCACGTGTCGCCCACATCTCAGTCTCTCTCCCAGTGCCAGTGTCTAGATACCCTCCTGCCCTCCCTTAGTACCTCTCTTTCCACCCCATCCCCACTGCTGATTTGCCCCACATCCAGGACAGGGAGCTCCCTGGAGATGTCTGGGCCTGGGATGACACCTCCTGACACCCCCGTTCCCCACCCCAGTCTCAGGAGGGGCCAACCCACCGTCCTCTTCCCAGCCCTTCCCTTCCCCCGGCCGGGCTCCTGCCTCCCTCTTGGCTGCGCCCGCTGCAGCTGCAGCAGCCCGTTGCCGGGGCAACCACAGCTGGCTGGGCGGGAGCCCCTCCACCCCATCCCCCTTCTCCTCCTTTCTGGCAAAGCAAGGCGGAGCTGGGACAAAGCCGGGGAGAGGCAGGGTGCAGGCGGGAGGAGAGGGAGGTGGATGGAAGTAGGGGCTGGCTGGTCGCCTCACCCCCTACAAGGCCCCCCCCACCCCTGGCCCTCCTTCTTGGTGATGCCCCAAACCAGACGGGAGAACGAGGCAGTCGTGGGCAGAGGGGTCAGGCCCAGTTTAATACACAGAACAAGTTAATTCACAGCAGAGGCAGGCAATAGAGGAGACTCGGTGACAAGTGGGAGGGCACTCCTGGATTGGGGGACATCCCCCCAAAACCCACCACCTCCCCCACCTGCAGTCTCAGTTTCCCTTTTTAAAAACCCGAACAACAAACACACACAACCACAAGAAACAACCACGCCCCCTCACTCCCCCCAAAATGGCCAGTGAGGGGGGCGGGAGCCGCCAGGCCTGGCGGGGCGGGAGGAGGGCGGAGGAGGGAGGGAAAAGGAGTCCGTGGCGGAGTCTGTGCTTCTCATTCCAGCAGGCGCTGGGCGGGGGCCCACCCGGCCCCACCACCGCCACCCACCAGCCACGGCAGGCACGGGGCGGGCACAGGCCAGGGCGGTCGGGGAGGGGCAGGAACAGAGTTCAAAACCAAGGTTCACATCATGCAGTATCCACCGTGGGCACCGGGAGGGGCAGGTGGACACCACGCCCACCGCCCTGGGCACAGGAGGGGAAGGTGCCCACCTTGGGTGGGGCGCGGGACGGCTGCAGCTCCAGAAATTGGGGTTCGGGCGCCCGGCAGGGGGCCGGCAGAGGCGGGTGCCCAGTGGACGCTCTCAGCAGCGCCCCTCCACCCAGCCAGGCCTTGGAGGACTCTTTGTATATATTAACTTCTTTTCCTTTTTTTTCTTTTTTTTTTTTTTAACTTTTTGTCTTTTTCTTTAGAAAAAGGCTCTGTCCATGCCCCTGGCTGGCACCCACCACCCCCCATGCCCGCCCAGAGGCGGGGTATGGCTTTGAGGGGAGAAGCCCCTGGTGTCCATTTGCCAAGGGACAGAGAGGGAGGGAGGGAGGGAGAGGCCCCGGCCGGGCCCACCCACCCACAGGGCAGACATTCCACTTGCACAGAGGGGAGGGGGTGGCCCAGCCCCCTCTCGGCTTCCCCCTCTCCCGCTCCCGCTGCGGGGCATTCAGGGTGGGGGAGAAGTGAGGAGCTCAGAGAGGCAGGTAGGCGAGCACCACCCCAGAGTCCCGGCGCCGAGCCGGCCTAGGTGAGGGTGATGTAAGCGGAAGCCTTTTCCTTCAGGTGCCGAAGACAGAGGTGACAGCTCCAGCTCCCTGCGGGGGCGGCCGAAGCTGGAGTCAGGCCCAGGTCCGGGAGGGCTGCCCCAGCCGCTTCCCACCCAGAGGACACAGTTCTCGACAACCGGGAGATGGGCGTTCCCACCCCCCGCCCACGTGGTGCCTGCCTCTCCTCTCACCTTCCGGGGGCTCCGCCATGGGGGGGCTGAGGCAGTACATGTGGTAACCCCGATCGCAGTCGTCACAAAACAGCAGCTGGTCCTGGGGGGTGAGACCCGCCCAGCTGGCACCCTGGGGGCACGGGCACCAGAAACGGGGGTGGGGGGCTGGGGCAGGGGCTAGGTCAAGGGGGCTGGGGGGAGGTGAGGCCTGCCAAGAAAGTCTCTGAGAAGGTCTTTGCAGCAGGAAATGTGTGCACAACACTGCTTAGCCAAGCACATATCCCTCCGGACGGTCCCTTCGCGATTTATAGTGGGGGTTTCATAAGGATTTATAGTGGGGGTTTCACAAGGCTCTGCGGAAGGTTTATTATTATTATTATTTTATATTTTTAGAGACAGGGTCCTACCCTGTTGCCCAGGCTGGAAGTGCAGTGGTGCAGTCACAGCTCACTGCAGCCTCACACTCCTGGGCTCAAGTGATTCTCCTGCCTCAGCCATCTGAGCTGGGACTACAGGTGTGGGCCACCACGCCTGGCTGTTTTTTTTTTTTTTAATTTTTTGTAGAGATGGGGGTCTCACTATGTTGCCCAGGCTGGTGTAGAACTGCTGGGCTCAAAACTCCTCAGCCTCCCAAAGTGCTGGGATTACATGGGTGGGCCACCACTCCCGGCCTGTGGAAGGCCTTATATGACACCAAGATGATCTGATACCGGCTCTGCCAGCAACGGTCATGGCTTTTTTTTTTTTTTTTTTGAGACGGAATCTCGCTCTGTCACCCAGGCTGGAGTGCGCAGTGGCGCCATCTCGGTTCACTGCAATCTCCACCTCCTAAGTTCAAGAGATTCTCCTGCCTCAGCCTCCCAAGTAGCTGGGACTACAGGCACCCAGCTAATTTTTGTACTTTTGTAGAAACAGGGTTTCACCATGTTGGCCAGGCTGGTCTGGAACTCCTGACCTCAGGTGATCCACCCACCTCAGCCTCTCCCAGAGTGCTGGGATTACGGGCGTGAGCCACCGCGCCCGGCCTGTGGAAGGCTTTAAACAATCCTAAGATGATCTGACACCAGCTCTGCCAGCAGTGGTCATGGCTTTACATCTCAGCTCTTCCATTTCCCTAGCTGGCTGACCCTGGCCAGGTCTCTTTCCCTCTCTGAGCTCGGTTTCTTCCCTGCGAAGTGGGAACAAGACCCCCTGCTTCAGAGGGTGGTTGGGAGGAGTCAGAGAGACGAAGAGGAGAAAGTGCCGGGTTCAATTTATGGACACCAGCATGATGGTAACACAGGGGACTCGCGTTCACCAGGGAGGGCTCAGACACAGGCTTTAAGCTCGAGGAGCGGAGGTGGACGTGCCAAGCGGGGCGGGCAGCAGGGCACGCGGGGGGCGGGCGGCACTCACGTCGTTCTCGGAGGTTCCGCACAGGCTGCAGGATTTGCACTCAATGCACTGCCAGCGGTAGGTCCGCACAGCTGCCGTCATGTTCACCGTGAATTGTAAACACGAGGGGTGTCCTGGGGGCCAAGGGGCAGGGGTGCAGTTAGGAGGTCAGCGTGCCCCTGGTGGGCACTGACCACCAGGGGAACTATCGCTCAGCCCCTACTCCCGGCTGATGAGGCCGGGATGAGCTGCCGGGGTCCACAGCCTGACCCCACACCTGCCCAGCAACCACGTGGCCAGCAGCCGTCCCCCGGCCACCACAGTCTCCTACCACAACCACCATGGCAACCACACTCTGCTCCCCAGAACGCCATGGCAACCGCATTCCATTACCCACAGTGCTGTGGCAACCACTTTCTACCACCCACAACACCGTGGCAACCACCTTCTGTTAACCACCGTGCTGAGACAGCCACATTCCATTACCCGCAGCAGAACGACCAGGGTCCTGTTAACCGCAGCAGCGTGGCGACCACACTCTCCCAGCCACAATGCCATGGCAACCGCCTTCCACAACGGGGTCCCCATACCTTGGTTTCGTGCAACTAAAGCCCATTCCACATGATGCCCCAGCAACCAAACTGTTACTGACAATACCGTGGAGCGCCAGGCTGTCCGTCATTCCACGGCCCCGGTGCAGAGACACCCGCAGCTGCGACCTGCAGCCATGACCCGTGGTGCCCGCCCCCTGCAACCACGGCCCCGGTGCCATCACAACTACATTCCATGATACCGAGTTGCCATGACAACCACATTGCACTACCCATGATGCCATGACAACCACAATGCATGGCCTACTGTGCTGTGGCATCCACAGTATGTATTGCCCACAAGTCCACCACAGGAAACCACGTTCTGTAAGCCACAATTCTACGGCAAGCTCGTCCTGCTACCAGCGCCCAGGTGGTGGCATCCGTCACTCACACCGCACAGCCCACTACCCGCCACGCCTTGACCCCCGTCTCTTGCTACTCCTTTTGTCTTGTTTTGGTTTTTGAAACAGGGTCTCACTCTGTTGCCCAGGCTGGAGCACAGTGGTGCCATCACAGCCCACTCTGCAGCCTTGACCTCCCGGGCTCCAGCAATCCTCCCACCTCAGCCTCCCGAGTAGCTGGGACTAATGGGGTGCAAAACCATACCCAGCTTTTTTTTTTGAGATGGAGTCTTGCTCTGACACCCAGGCTGGAGTGCAGTGGTGCGATCTCAGCTCACTGAAACCTCAGAGTCCTGGGTTCAAGCGATTCTCCTGCCTCAGCCTCCAGAGTAGCTGGGATTACAGGCACGCGCCACCACACCCAGATAATTTTTATATTTTTAGTAGAGATGGGGTTTCACTATGTTGGCCAGGATGGTCTTGATCTCTTGACCTTGTAATCCACCCACCTCAGCCTCCCAAAGTGCTGGGATTACAGATGTAAGCCACTGCACCCGGCCAATTTTTTTTCAATAGATGGGCTCTCATTATGTCGCCCAGACTGGTCAAAAACTCCTGGGCTCAAGGGGCCGGGTGCAGTGGCTCATGCCTTTAATCCCAGCACTTTGGGAGGCCAAGGCAGGCAGATCACCTGAGGTCAGGAGTTTGAGACCAGCCTGGCCAACATGGTGAAACCCTGTCTCT